TCCCCATAGCATCCCCAACAGAGGGGAGGGCAGACCCCTGGGACAAGGCTACCTGTCCCCACCACACTCTGCCCTGGGCACAGGGAGGCTGCACTCCCCAGCCAGCCTCTGGAGAGGGCCCAAACACTCCTGGCACACACTGAGAGGGGCTGAGCCCACAGCTGGAGATGGGGCAGAAAGCCAGGGTCAAGATCTCACTCAGCTTTCAGCTGGCACAGAGTGCAACCCCGAGCCGTGCCAGGATGGGACGGAAGAGCAGCCAGGGTGGCAGTGCTGTGGGTGCAGAGAAGCTGGAAGAAGATGTTTTGTCAAGAATCCTTTTGTCTCCCTTTAAGCAAATAACGACATGACCTTCCAAAGACCTGCTCCTGCCTACTGCGGTCAACAGGTCCTCAAGTGTGTTCTCACAAGGCCACGCAAGTGCGACTGGGGGATCCGCGCCTCTGGCGCACGCCAAAACATCTGGCGGGGCTGGAACTCACAGCTGGAGAGTTTCCACTTCTGGAACTGCCCGTTACATAAAGCCATTTCACACACATGCTGGGAGGAGAAAGGGGGAGCAGAGGGGAAGAAATACATCTTTTTTTCCTTAAATAAAAATAAAATAAAAAAAAACAACTTTAGAAGTTTCCCTCTGAGCAGACCTGGCAAGGGCAGGGGTGGGAGGCCCCAGCAGAGTTAACCTGGGAACAGGGAGCCCCAGCTCAGCTCCCAGCTTGGGCTGCCCAGCCAAGACCCAGGTCATGCACCCCACTCCACAGGGAAACAACAAAAATACACACAAATTGAGAGCCTCTAGGGAACAGAGGCTGTCCTGCGAGCCCTGGCCCTGTGGCAGCACCCACCTGGAGATGCAGCAGCAAGAGCACGGAGTCAGCGGTCCCCAAGGACCCTGTGCCATCCCAGGCAGCCCAGGAGGGCACTGGAAAGCCCAGTCCCATCGCTGCTGCTTCACCCAGAGCCAAGGGTGGCATCCTCCACCCCAGGGCTCCACGCATCACCACCAAGCAGAGCTCAGCCCCACAGCACCCCACCTGCCCCACAGCTGTGCTCACCTTTGCAGGGGTGGCAGGTCACCAGCCCCAGGAAGCCCAGCAGGCTGATCTTGTTGCCTGGGTAGGTGTAGTTAGACCAGGCTACGTCCACGTTGCCATTGGCACAGCATTCCTCCCACGTTACACCCGTCTTCAGGATCATGGTGCACTTGGCCTCCTTCCCCTGCTGCAACCAGCAGATGCCACCTGTGGCGAGAGCAGAGGGTGAGGGGTCCCTGCTGCCCTGGGCACTGCAGGGGGCAGCGAGGCCTCGGCCAGGCCACCCGCAGGGCAGAGGCACAGGGGCAGCACCGATGTCTGGGAAGAGCCACGGCGGGAAAAGTTGGGGAGCCTAAAGATGCTCCATGCTGGCTCCCGTCTCTCCTGTGGCACAAGGGCTGTCCCAGAGCAGGTGCCTCTGGCACAACATGTCAGCTCTGTGCCCACACTGCTGCACCACTACCCCAGGCTGCTGCCAGCCCAGCTCCTCTGGCCAGCAGGCTCCAAACACAGCACTGGGACCCCAAGGACACCGCAGTTGTCTCACTCACGAGTGATGCTCTGGGAGGTGCCCAGCCGGCGGGCCAGGGCCCGGCCTTGCAGCTCACCCCCTTGCCCTGCTCACTGTGCCTGCAGTGCTGCCTAACTCCTGCCTGACCCTGCCATTGGGAGGCTCCAGCCCAGGATAGGCAGAGGGGGCTGGTGGGGGCTGGTGCTGTGAGGGCTGGATCCCTCAGAGGGATGGGGACCTGACACCCACGGCCTCTGCAAGGAGCATCTGAGCCACAGCTGGAGAACAGGGCACTTGACACAGCCCTTGGGACGGGGCCAGGCCAGCAGCATCAGATCCCTCTGACTCAAAAGCCTGTTTGTTCCTTAACCCCACAAGCAAATCAGTTGGGCTTTTTTTGTGAGTGATTCCTTTGCAATTTCCGCCTCTGCAGACCAGCCCCTTCTGACGCTTATTTGGGTTTATGCTCTCCTTAGCTGCATTTGAGGTTTGTTAAGCAGCTAAAGATGTGAGGGAGGGATGGAGGAAGGAACAGATCCTGCTGGTGTGAGGCTGGAGTTGTTCCCCTCCAAAGCAGGGATTCATCCTGCCCCAGAGCAGAGTCAGCACCTGCCTCAGACCCCAGGTGTGTCCCCCCAGCTCCCTCCCATGCACCTGATTGTGGTTCAGCCAAAAGCACACGGTGCTCCCAGCCTGGATGCAGCCAGCAACAGCTCCATGGGGCAGCTGTGAATGGAGCAAAACCTCTGACTGCAGGAACCAGCAGCCAGGACACCTCTGGAACCATCAGCCAGGCTACCACCTCCCTGCCATCAGTGGGTTTATCCTCCATGGAATTGCCCAGTTGCTCATTCAAGCCCATTTTTCCTTTACAACGCTCCATGGCCCCAGCTGCCCCACGGTACCAAGCTCCCTGGGAGCTGTGCCCTGGCTTTGGACTGTGTTTGCCCCACAACTGCTGCCCTCGGGCACT